TTTGAAAATTTTCCTGTAGAACGCGCTTAGTGTGTGTTTTAAAACTTTTGAGTACTACCCTAAGAACCTGTTTCCTTACCATAAAATAATTGCTGCAATCTGGCGAAGCTCCATGGGAGGCAGTGCTCTGATCTACCGGATCGTTTCAACTGGGACACCCTACTGCGCCCAAACACTCAATTGCAGGGTAATTTTTTCTAGAATAATGGAACTGTTTCTAGGAGATTTTCGAAATTATTCAGGTGGAATGTTATATAGTTTTGGCTCTATACAAGTGGGGTGGGCACGCCCAGCTTTTCACGCATGTCAAGTGACTGCCCTCACCCCCCCCTAGATTGGCTACACTCCCCCTGGCTCACGAATTCCCCGATTCTCGTGACAGTATAGTAGCGGGCAGCAGTCCCACTTACATACATTTCTGTTCAAAAAATGCGGCGTGCCCACCCTACTTGTATAGCACCATAGCTTCTACGTTATTTGAACTACCTTGTCTAAATACCGTCCACTAGTGATAAAAAATGCCCTCGTTCGCAATCGTATTTTTATTTCTCCTCACTACACCCTTATTATGAAAGCTTGAGAGAGTTTGTGCTTACTGAGCAGTACTAACACTGGCGAGTCCTTCATCCCGCTAGTGGACCCGTTTGTTCGAACCCGCAATGAACCATTGCGCTGCCTAGCATAATTGCATGGGTCCACCCTCCACTGCCACTGTTCGCAGGGCCTTAAAGGAATCTTCCACGGAAAAAGCTCCGCCCTCATTACCACAGAAAACGATACCTTAAAGGAATCTTCCACGGAAAGAGTGATCATTTTGTCTTGTGTGTAGGATTAGTATTATCGAAACTAACGCTTATGTTCCGTTCTTTTTGCTATGCTCATGAGGCTAGGGGCCTAAGGGGTATCGTTTTTCTGTGGTAATGGAGGCGGAGCTTTTTCCGCGGAAGATTCCTTTAATAAAGGTTAATGGTAATCAATCAAATGAGTGTGGCCCTCATTTTTTCAGAAAATTAAAATCAAAATCAAAAAATAATTCAGGGAATCCTGTCAAAAATATGTTTGATTTCACCAGACTGGCAAGCTGA